CTCACAGAAAAACGGACAACTTTTCTCCGACTCCGCTATACACGATACATAGATTCGTTCACTTCGTTCACTCATTTATTACTTGCAGAAGAATATAATACCGGTAGATCGTGTTTTATGAAAAATGAGTGGTTTGTATATTTTTTCCGAGTAGTGGGTAACAAAAGCTTTAAAATGACATCTCATGTTATGAAAATTTGTGAGAAAGAGGGAAGTTATAGTCCACCGACAAAAACACTTTAGAAATTATAATAAATATATAATATATATAAATATATATGTCCTTATATATAATTCTGCAAGACACAATTTTTACCAGAAAATTGTGGACGTCTGGTAAGTCTCAGAAAAGTGGTAGGGATCTTAAATTAAATGTCTTGTCCCCAGAGACTCGGTAAAAATAGCAGAATTCCAATAAAGTTGCCAGAAAACGAGATATAAAATAAAATGTTCTCCATAAGATTAGCATTAGAGGCCATTTACTGCTGATTGTTGTTTACTTCAATACAGCTGATCGTGATTTATCATCAAGCCAGTACGCAATGTTAAAATTTGGATTACTTATTTGCCAGTCAATTCTGCAATGTGCTATATAAAACCAGGGATAACATTACCTACTAGGATTGCTTTCAGAGCGGTGAAAGCCAGTTGAGCGGAGAAAACTTGTTTTAATATTTGTGTAACTAACTAAATAAAAAAATCTATATATGTACTAATGCTTGTACATTATTGATTAAAATTATAATAATTTACCTCTTGACTACATCTTATTGTGATTCAGATAGGCTACCTCTTGCAAAAGTAGATTAAATCATAACCAACGAGATTTTCTTGTTTATTAAAATCATAGGAATGGTTTAAAAACGTTTAAAAGAAAAGTATAGAAAGTTCAGAAATACCTCATGATTCGCTTGTTTACATTTTCCTTGTAAACAAAAAAACTGTTATAGCTACTTTAGTCCCATAAGCCTAATGTTAAAAAGTTGAAATTTTAAGTTCATTTTAAATTGCATTAGCATTATCTAATTGAAATTTGTTTGTTTACAAACCATCTCATTATTAGTCTAAGTAGGTAGTCTTGAAAAGTTTGGCTGAAATGTGTTCAGCCGTTATTGAGTTATATTGTTTGCATTGAAGTTGATCCCAAAGAGCTTAACCAAAACTATTCCATTCCAAAAGATAAAAATTATATGGTGCAACACAAATAAACAACCCGATCACCTACCTATAACCTACACTTTACCTTCATAATCTAACCTTACTTCAAAACACTTAATGTAGTCACGAATACTAATAAACCCCGACCTACCTCCCCACATGCCTAAATTAGATCAGTGTTCAATCTGCGTTTTATCAATAAGTGTAATAACTTGCTGTACCGTCGATGTAATTCAACATAATATAACCAATAAGGTATTATCGGATTAAATACCGATTTCGATGCGGTTCGATATATCGCTTATTAAATCCTGATTTCTAACATTGGCTGTTTCTAATCAGCTGGCAACACAAATAGGTTCCCATCCCAAGAAAGTAGTCACCGTCCGTATCCCTCCGCTCCTTGTTTATGCTCCGCGCATTGAGAAAGTAGTTCCGTATATTTTCTCGATTTTCAGTGAATTTCGCGCCTTAAAAAATATTTTAACGGCATTTACTCGTTTATTAAAATCATAGGAATAGTTGAAAAACGTTTAAAAGAAAAGTATAAAAAGTTCAGAAATACCTTATGATTCTCTTGTTTACATTTTTCTTGTAAACAAAAAAACTGTCATAGCTACTTTAGTCCCATAAGCCTAATGTTAAAAATTTGAAATTTTAAGTTCGTTTTAAATTGCATTAGCATTATCTAATTGAAATTTGTTTGTTTACAAACCATCTCATTATTAGTCTAAGTAGTCTTGTTAAGTTTGGCTGAAATGTGTTCAGCCGTTGTTGAGTGATGGTGTTTATATTGTTTGCATTGAAGTTGATCCCAAAGAGCTTCGCTCGCTTCGCTCGCTCCGCTCAATAATAATTAAGACTTTTTAGTTATAGGTTATAGAATGTGGAAATTAATTATTTTACTGTGAAACTTTTCAAATTTGTTTATTTATAACGTTTAACATGAAATAACCTCATTAACTAAATAATTAACGATTTTAGATTACATCGAAAACTTCTGCTTTGCTTTTATTTCAAAACATATGTTCTAGATTTATTCTACACTTTCTTTATTTTAAAATTGAGATTTATTGTAGTGTTTAATCAATATTTTGTATGAAGTGGAATAACCTCAACGGCTACACTCTTAGAAAATAACCTGGGAAACAAGATGGAATAGGTACGTACAGGAAATATGTATTTGTTAATTAAGTAAGTACGGTACTATGACAATTTCCAATGGGATGAAAAATAATATTGTTTGGAGATTTTAAATAGGTACTGTCTTTGCTCGCAAAAGAGTTAAGAATCAGCCAATGATTAGGCTTAATTTTATAGAATATGTAACGCTAAACGTACCTTTAAGGCCTGTCCAAACCGAAGCGGGAAAGGGGCGGGAGCAGGAATGTGGCGGGACGAATTCCCGCGCGGGATTTTAAAGCACATGGTGTTAGATGTTAGCACCCACACTAGAGCGGTACCGCTCCCGCCGTCCCGCAGCGTTGTTCGATCGTCCCGCCGGTTTGAAACATGTTGGATTTTCCCGCTCGTACCGCCACGGGAACACATGTGTACATGGCTCATTTGGTGTAGACGGGGCCAACAGGAAGCATCTGGAGGTCATCCAATCAAAAGCGCTCAGATGCATTACCCGCCAACCATGGTTTGTCGGGTCGCCGGAATTTTATCCCCCTGGAATTTTACCCCCTGGGCAAAGTTGACGTCACTATGACGTAGTAACCTGAGGGGCCAAAAGTTTGTTCGCGGCCGGAATTTTACCCCCGCGGATTTGGAAGGCTAATAAAAATAGCCAGAGCGTGATTAATTAGATTAGCGATAAAAACCGGAATTCTACCCCCTGTCCATATAACTAGTGTTTAGACAACTTAAGATGTACGGGCCGGATTTTTACCCCCCGGAATTTTACCCCCTGGCCGATTTTAGAAATTGAACGATTGATTTTCTTATTTATGTTTTTAATTAATTGTAAACATTTCATAATTTAGTAGCCTATCTTTATTTATTTGTTTTGTAATCTCAACTAAGTAAACAGAATTCGCTGTTTAATTTTGATGTTCGGGATTTGCGTTTGGGGTGAACTGTTGGTTAATAAGTATGCAAAATATACTGAGTAACTCATTTAAATGATAATTGGGTGGACATTACTTAAACGAATTGATTGTACCACCGTGAAAAACAATGTATTTAGTTTCTGTTGTACAATAACACAAGATATGCCTTTTTGTTTTTTCAGGCACAAACCATGTGTAATTTATGGTTTGTAATGAGAAAGGTCGTCGAAATACACGTTGTGAAATGTAGCTGTAGGCATCCGGTACAATGTATTCGACCAATTGTTGTGTTGACTAATACTAGAATACTAATACTAGAATCTCAAAATTAAAATTAAAAACCTGTCCGATTAGTTAATGTTACAAATAAATTAATATAGGCTACTTAATAATAAAATGTTTACTATTATATTAAAACAGAATGAAGATAATTAATCATTCTCACTAATTTATATATTTGGCCAGAGGGTAAAATCCGGGCCGTACACTCTAGGTTGTTATAATTTGATGTGTTCTGATTAAATTCACAACCATGAAAATATATGTTTAATTCCGCGTTTAATCCATCGAGCTGATGTCACGAAACTCAAATGTTCGAGGCCGGAATTTTACCCCCTGGCTTGTGTCGACACGTTGCCCAAGTGTAAAATTCCAGGGGGATAAATATCCGCTATCCCGGTTTGTCAACAACGCTACCATCAGGAACTCTTTAGGAATCCCAAGTCTGGAGGAGTTCACGGTCCGGAAGGCAAGCCGCTTATTCCGGAAAGCGGCGCATTCGGAGCACGATTTTAACCTTCTGACCTTTGCAAGCATTATGACATAGCCGAGGACTGGAGACCCCGGCCTGCAGCCGTCCTGGATGATCCACCGTAACAGAGTCACCACGCCTCGACACAAACCGGGTACGTCGAGCCCAGCTCCGGCCCATTGCATACCAGGTTAAGCTAGTTTTAAAATCCATTAGAAGTATTTACGCTCAGCAAGTCAGTCAGACATTCAGTAGACCTATGTCAGTTATTCAACAAACACGGCTAAGTCTTGTTTCAGATAATCCAAGATTCATTCCGGCAGCAGAGACGTGTCATCTCGCTGTGATCGCCCTCCCACATAACTGAGTGGGGGGGGGAGGTGCTTTTAGTGGGTATACCAGAACTGGTGAGTCCCACACTACCCTCAAGGACCGAGGGTGTGCCTAATGCATTTACACCTCCCTAACAAAAAAAGTGTCATGATGTTAGCCTCCGAATCACTTTAGTTAATTAAAAATAGTTTAAATACCTTAACTGTCAGGTGATCCTTGGAGTAGTAATTACACTTCTGCAGTTTCAGCCCTCAGGGGGCTTTCTTCAGGTGTCAAAGGAGGTCAAAAGTTGTCATTCATACGAATGACAAAAAACGAAATGTGACGAATTCGTATGAATTACAACTTTTGACCTCCTTTGACACTTGAAGAAAGCCCCCTGAGCGCTGAAACTGCAGTAGTGTAATTATTACTACTCCAAGGATCACCTGACAGTTAAGGTATTTAAACCATTTTTAATTAAAAAAAAGTAAAAAGGGAATATAACTGAGGACGATTCTAGTGCGTTGTTCATTAAACAGTTGGTGGAATATGTTTATTTGTATCCAGTTAGGTGTTAAGGTGAAAAGTAACTTACACATTTTAGCTTAGTTCTGTTATATATTGTGAATTGTACATATTTCACAGATTTTAGAACACTCAAAATACCCATTAAATGAAGGAAACAGTACATAAGACAATTACTTAACACAACCACTCTGTAACTAATGAGTAAGATGAAAATGAACTGAGGAGTCGTCCCGCTTCCCGCTGCCTGCAGCTTCGGTGTGGGCTACCTCTTTCCCGCCACGTATCGCTGCCGCTGATTCCCGCCACGTATCGCTGCCGCTGATTCCCGCCACGTATCGCTGCCGGTGGTTCCCGCCACGTATCGCTGCCGCTGATTCCCGCCACGTATCGCTGCCGCTGATTCCCGCCACGTATCGCTGCCGCTGATTCCCGCCACGTATCGCTGCCGCTGATTCCCGCCACGTATCGCTGCCGCTGATTCCCGCCACGTATCGCTGCCGCTGATTCCCGCCACGTATCGCTGCCGGTGGTTCCCGCCACGTATCGCTGCCGGTGGTTCCCGCCACGTATCGCTGCCGCTGGTTCTCGCCGGTCATTCGCCCCCTTCCCGCTCCCGCCGCTTTCCCGCTTCGGTTTGGACGAGCCTTTAAGAGGAATACCACCACATAAACTTACACTAATTGTAGTTTTTTATGTTGATCACAAAAAATCTACGGTTAGGTTTGGTCAATGGGATGCCTTTACTTTTTTACACTAATGATATCAAAACCTTAACAAAAGGAGCATAAACTTAAAAATAATGGGTCGCCGGAATTTTACCCCCCTGGAATTTTACCCCCTGGGCAAAGCTGACGACACTATGACGTAGTAACCTGAGTGGCCAAAAGTTTGTTTGCGGCCGGAATTTTACCCCCGCGGATTTCGAAGCCTAATGAAAATAGTCAGAGCGTGATTAATTCAATTAGCGATAAAAACCGGAATTTTACCCACTGTCCATATAACTAGTGTTTAGACAACTGAAATGTACGGGCCGGATTTTTACCCCCCGGAATTTTACCCCCGGAATTTTACCCCCCGGTATTTTACCCCCGGAATTTTACCCCCGGATTTTTACCCCCTGGAATTTTACCCCCTGGCCGATTTTAGAAATTGAATGATTGGTTTTCTTATTTCTGTTTTTAATTAAATTGTAAACATTTCATTATTTAGTGGCCTATCTTTATTTATTTATTTTGTAATCTCAACTAGGTAAGTCAAACGAATTCGCTGTTTAATTTTGATGTTCGGGATTTGCCTTTGGGGCAAACTGTTGGTTAATAAGTATGTAAATAGGTAATAGGCCATGTTAATAAGTATGAAAAACAATGTATTTAGTTTCAGTTGTACAACAACCTTCTTGTTTCTTCAGGCACAAACCATGTGCTATTTATAGTTTGTAATGATAAAGGTGATCGAAATACATGTTGTGAAATGTAGTTGTAGGCATCCGGTATGCCTACAATGTATTCGATCAATTGTTGTGTTGACTACTGCAAGGAATCTCATCAACAGTACTTGGAAAGGTTGAATGAATCATTATGAGTGAACAGTGCTCAGTAAGTTATGTTAATCCCCTCGCGCGTTACTGCGAAATCCCAATGCCCTTTAGAATCTCTTTTCACAACAGGTCATTCCAGTCATGTAGAGTCTTTTGAGAAACATTCATTTTGTACATAATATGTATATTGTATATTATCACTACGTATGTATATATTATATATGTATATTCTGAATAATTTTTATATCTAGCCAGGGGGTAAAATTCCGGGGGTAAAAATCCGGGGGGTAAAATTCCGGGGGTAAAATCGGGTAAAATTCCGGGGGTAAAATTCCGGGGGGTAAAATTCCGGGGGGTAAAATTTCGGGGGTAAAATTCCGGGGGGTAAAAATCCGGGCCGTACACTCTAGGTTTTTATAATTTGATGTGTTCTGATTAAATTCACAACCGTGAAAATATATGTTTAATTCCGCGTTTAATCCATCGAGCTGATGTCGCGAAACTCAAAAGTTCGCGGCCGGAATTTTACCCCCTGGTTTGTGACGTCACGTTTGCCCAGGGGGTAAAATTCCAGGGGGATAAAAATCCGCTACCCCAAAATAATAACTGGGTCGGAGTGCTAATTTAGCGATTTTGACCTAGAACTAAGCTTACCTCAACTTTATATGCCTTTTCATATTTGACGAAGACAATTTCCAAAATTCCAATCAGGGAAGTCTTTTTTATTACCATTACCCACAAGACCAAAGCTACCTTAATAAACCAGTATTTATTCACAAACAATTATATTTTTGCTACCTTTATCAGGGTTAAACTTGTGTAGTGATTCGAATGATTTATTGAAAATAACATCAACAAAAGCAAACAAAGACAAACAACAAACTGTTTTTGACACAAAAGATATGGCGTACAGGGATATCTACAGGGCCTGATTAAGGCTCTAGTCGCCAGTAGGCTGACGTTTTTTCGTGCCCCCCCCTCCCCCTACAAATAGCCCTCCTCTCTGCCAGGGCCGGGGATAGTAGCTAGTACCATAGACTAACCAACACAAGTAGACTTCTCATCCCATTGTAAATTTTGAAGCATGTTTTTCGTGTCTAGTTCATTTACGTGACACATGGGCGCTAGTGTCAATGAAACTTTGTTTCTATTATTTTAGGGTTAATTTCTTGATTTGTGCTTTACTGTTTGGTTATATAACTAGGGGACGAGTTATTGTTTATGATTAGATTGTATTACTTGGTTAAACGAGGTTTTAAATGGACTAGTGAACCTGTGCGGCTCAATGCCCCGCAAAAACATATGAATTTAGAAAACAAATTCATCGTGTTATAGCCTATATTGACTCGTTGAAAATTAAATACAGTAATAATAAAGCATTAGAAGGGAAGCAATCCAGCCATTTTCTAGCTGTATGCGTATTATATTTAGTAAATTAATAAGTGTTCAAGTTCAAGTATGTTACAGGGTAGTTATTTTTTTAAGACTTAAAAACACATTTAACAAAACATTTTATCATATCAAACCAATAGGCAGTGAAGGTAGCATATATATGTAGCATATTTTGAGGGGTCATAAAATGCTGCTTGAAGAAAACACTTTTAAAAATAAACACTAAAAAACAATATTTTTTTTCACAAAAGAACTTCCATATGACTGAAATTGGTCTGGCTAAGAACAGTGCTGCTCTTTCATTAAAGTGCTTGTGCTTCAAATGCCAAATAACAGAAATTAGCATCTTTCCATTTTAAAAGGTAACTTTGTTTCAGACGGGCAAATTTGTTATCCTCGAAATCAAAATATGTCCTTACTCACTTGTTCCATGTTAGGACTTTAGATTCTACTTTACATTGTTGTTAACCGTTCTGATCACATGAAGCCTTGTGCCATTAATGAGGCCCTTTTTGATGTAATAATATCAATAAAACCACTGCCTCCTTTTATTTGTATAATCTGTGTCTTGGCAATCCACTGACCTCTATATTTAAAAACTCAGTTGGATTTTCTAGATGGGTGCCTTTGCCTTCGACTGACAATTAATTACCTAACTTGTAAAGTTCATGTAGTAATTCATTAATACTGTTAGTTTATAAAGAAAATTAGATAAAAGGTACTTGGCTTGGTGCTTTCATAACTGCGAACTCAAATTACACCCACAAGTAAAAGATAATCATGTTATTGGTTAAAAAAAAAAACTATGTTTGTGTAAAAACATTATTCACATGAAGTAGATGATTTGTTTGATTTCTCGATCAGCTGTTTCGTTTAGAATGAATTAATAATGTCAAAGATTTGTGATTTTAAATACATCAATTAATTATTATAGTAAAATTTTCTAAATATGGTAACTTATTCTAAAACTAAATTTTACTATTCCCAGCATGAAAATAAAGTAGTGAGATCCATTATGAGTAAAGTTTAAGGCACACAATCCTTGATTGAAATGTAGTATACATTAACAGTCATAATACACAGCAATTATTATGTAGTAGACTTTGACTATTTTCAAGTAACAAACATATGTTTCTGTAAATAAAAATTATCTCCCTTGTTATCCTTATGCAGAAATACAAAACTTTAAAGGGCCCCAGGGCCTCACTCTCTAATTATTTCCTTAAAAAGAAGGTTTCCTGCACAACTTCACGTTACGCTCTTTCCAATGACACCAAAAACATATCAATCGGTTTAGTAGTTTCGGAGGAGTAATTGTCACAAAAATCGTGCTTGCGTATTAAATAAGTACGAGAGGTCGTCCAGTGGTCGAAACTCGACCAAAAATATGTAATGTACAGATTTCTCTATTTTCACCCCACACTGTAAATAAAACATGTGATTGGAGTTTCTTCCATTTGTTTTGATTTTCTGTTTATATTTCGTTGTTATTTCGTCACCAGCATGGCAACCCATATGATCCATGTTAATTTTTTCAAATTTTTAAACTCATTTTTTGTGCTTATTTTTGAGCCTCTTAATTTATAAAGGGATTCTGCACACCTACAGGAAAATAGCTTTCTAACGGTATGCGTAGATTTTCCCTACGATGCACACGAGCTGAGAAAAAAGGTTTTAAAGAAACATGCTTGCCTATTAATATATAGATAATAGATGTAATAACGGGAAACAAATTGTAAACAAAACACGACCTCTACATAAACCGGTTTACAGAACTAACGATAAAATTGTCTTCAGCTGTTCCATAAGGATGGGAAATCTACTAAGAGAGTATTTTTTATCTATGCTAGTACTAGCTACTATCCCTGGCCCTGCTCTCTGCCACCACTTTCAAAATTTCAAAGTATGAATACTAATTCTGAATTCAAAAATTAAAAATTACCAAAGGCATTATACTACTATTCAGTTTATTTAAAAACAAAAGAAATTAATGCATGGTTTGATTAAGAACTTTTAAAACTGCAAATCTTTCGACTTTTAGATAATATTTTTAATTCAAGAGCTAAACAATATGACATAGTCCTAGGCACTATTAATTCTGGTTGAGTATAGATACAGAAGGTACAATGTCAGGAGGAAGGAACAATGTCTGTTAAATAAAGACATTGTTTAAACTAAGTTCACGGTACGGACAACCTGCAATTTTTCGCCTTATGCTCAATGTTAAACAAATGCCATGATGGCCGCCCATTCGTGTCGTGCTGCATTAGTGCGAATGAGGCTTAAAATAGTAACAAATCGGTTATTCAAGAAATGTAAAACTTTTTGATTTAAAATAATGTATTTATGTTACAGTTTATTAAACACATGATTTTATTAAATCAAAAGTAGACCTAAAATATCAAAAAACCAAACAATAATATACGTACTTTCAAAATTAACTGTTATTCACCTAGGCCTAAAACAATTTTATTAGGGCCTTTACGCCCCCAGTCCCAGCTTTAAGTCTTAGCTGTCTGGCGCCCCCCCTAAAACACTTGGCTGACTGGCGCCCTAGGCTCCAGCCTAATTAGCCTAATGGGTAAAATCAGGCCCTGGATATCTATTCTGACAAATAGACAATATATACCGGTATATCTTAGTTTGTTTCAATATAATAATAGTTCG